TATTTGTATTATTTTCTTTGTTTAGTTTGTATTTCTTTAATTCAATGGATAATTTAACTACAGATGAGTCAATCTCTATCTCATCCATTCCAATCCAATCTCATCTATTTACTCTTTGTGACGGAAGAAGAGCTCTACTAAGTTCCACACTGTTGTGATTGCCCCTGCATATAAATTTCTGGGGAAATACTTTAGTATGGATATGGAGCATACCTGTACAACTTGTCCCCCATTTTATTCAGATACTACTTTGAGAGAGCCTTAATTCAAGCAAAAATCGTAAAGCTAGAGATGATCCTATATAGGAGTTGTGTTAGCTGTGGAATTCTCATTTGTGTAGTGCCTGCAAAATCAAATAAGAGACTAATTTGGACTATTTTTAGTTCACTGTCTCATTTTTAAAAACTTCGCTAACCATAAAATTTCCTATGGGTAGTTCAATTCTATACAAACAAATAGTATTTAAAATTATTTGAAGAAGATTATTAGAAGGGTTCTATTAGAGTTCTTAATAATTTTAATAATTAAACTTAAATTGGTCCTCAAGGTGACAACAAAAAACCGGTAGTTCATCACCTAACCAAAAAACGTAGGTCGTATGTATGACTTACACAAAATGGTTAGGTCTCAAGGTAACAAAAAAATGTGAGATTGCCAAAGAAATAGAAGGCGTTGGGCCAATAACCAAAAAGCAATCTAAATAACTAGAAATAACACTCTCTCTCGAACATGAATCATATGCATGAACACCTTATAAATTCACCATTCCTATTGCATTAAGGATCTTATATAGTACAAGAGTAGATTTAAATTGTGAGAGAATGGACTCCCTTCTTCTACTAAACAGTAGATACAATACTAGAAACTACAATTCCTAGTTAAACCATATTTTCTGTACCTGGGGAAACGAACACTATTAATACTTTTGCAATCTCTATCTCATCCAACCCAATCCAATCCAATCCAATCTCATCTATTTGCTCTTTCTGACTGAAGAAACAAGGTTTCACATTGTGGTGGTCCCTGCATATAAACAGCTGGAGAATTCTAGTATGGATCCCATGATACATATATAACTTTTGCCCATTTCATTGAAATTCTTAATCGGGAGAACATTAATTCAAGCAAAAAACATAAAGCTAGGGATGACTCTATATAGTGTTAGTGTTTGTGTTGGAATTCTCGTTTGTGTAGTGCCTGTTAAAGCTTATTTGGGTAATATAACTTGACTTTCTCAGTTTTAAAGACTTCACTAACCATTAAAATTCATATATATAGTTCAATTCCATGCTAACAAATAGTATTTGAAATGTTTTGAACAAGATGGTTAATAGAGTTTCAATATGGATGTTAATAATTTTAATAATTAAAATTCCATTTGGGATGCCAAAAACTCCCATATCCCACCCCGGACGTTTTTGGCGATCTCACCCCGAAGTTACTTTTTTCGGTGTGAAACCAAACAAGGACACCTTATAAATTCAATTCCTATTGCATTAAAGATCTACGAATACACTAGAAGAGTATAGTTAAATTATGAGAGAATGACCCCCTTCTTCTTCCACCCCAATATACTAGAAACTACAATTCCTAGTTAAAAGCTTTTTCATCCAGAGAAGAAGCAGAAGAAGAAGACTCATAATAAAAACGCGAAAAGAAAAACGTTTAATTTTCTTAGGAGCCAAAAAAAAAAGAAAAGAAAAAAAAAATTGAAAAGAAAATTTTTTGTTGGAGATTTTCTTTTTAAAGAGATACGTTTATTATAAAAGAGATTCCCATTCTTTCTTCTTTGTATGTTAAGGACTTTAATCCATAAACGTATAATGTCAACCTCATCATCAACAACGACAAGTATCGAATGGACTGCTTCTAAAGTCAGATCCACTTTCTTAAATTATTTCATTGAACAAAAGAACCATAAGTACATTCCATCATCATCAGTTGTTCCTCATAATGATCCAACTTTATTATTTGCCAATGCTGGTATGAATCAATACAAACCAATCTTTTTAGGTACTGTTGATCCAGCTAGTGATTTCTCCACTTTAAAGAGAGCAGTCAATTCTCAAAAATGTATTAGAGCCGGTGGGAAACATAATGATTTAGAAGATGTTGGTAGAGATTCTTATCATCATACCTTTTTCGAAATGTTGGGAAATTGGTCATTTGGTGATTATTTTAAACAAGAAGCAATTGAATGGTCTTGGGAATTATTAACCCAAGTTTATGGATTAGATAAAGATAGATTATATGTGACTTATTTTGGTGGTGATGATAAACAAGGATTATCCCCAGATTTAGAAGCAAAACAATTTTGGTTAGATGTTGGAGTTGATGAAGATCATATTTTACCTGGATCTGCAAAAGATAATTTCTGGGAAATGGGTGATCAAGGTCCATGTGGCCCATGTTCAGAAATTCATTATGATAGAATTGGTGGTGGTAGAAATGCTGCTGATTTAGTTAATATGGATGATCCAAATGTTTTAGAAGTTTGGAATGTTGTTTTCATTCAATTTAATAGAGAAGCTGATGGAAGCTTAAGATCTTTACCTAATAAACATATTGATACTGGTATGGGATTTGAAAGATTAGTTTCAATTTTACAAGATAAATATTCAAATTATGATACTGATGTTTTTGAACCAATTTTTAATAAAATTGCAGAAATTACTGGTATTAGACCATATACTGGTAAATTTGGTTCTGAAGATAAAGATGGTATAGATACTGCCTATAGAGTTATTGCTGATCATGTTAGAACTTTAACTTTTGCCATTTGTGATGGTGGTGTTCCAAATAATGAAGGTAGGGGTTATGTTTTAAGAAGAATCTTAAGAAGAGGATCTCGTTATGTTCGTAAATATATGAATTACCCAATTGGTTCATTTTTCCAACAATTAGTTGACGTTGTAATTGAACAAAATAAAGAAATTTTCCCAGAAATCGTTAAAGGAGCTCAAGATTTAAAAGAAATTTTAAATGAAGAAGAAGTTTCCTTCTCAAAGACTTTAGATAGAGGTGAAAAATTATTTGAACAATATGCAATCATTGCTTCCAAAACTCCAGAACAAACTTTATCAGGTAAAGATGTTTGGAGATTATATGATACTTATGGTTTCCCAGTTGATTTAACTAGATTAATGGCTGAAGAAGCTGGTTTAAAAATTGATGAACCAGGATTTGAAAAAGCTAAAGAAGAATCAAGAGAAGCTTCCAAAGGTACAGGAAACAAAAACGCTGCCAATTTAATTAAATTAGATGTTCATGCTTTATCAGAATTAGAATCAGATGAAAGTATTCCAAAAACTGATGATGAATTTAAGTATGGTACAGAAAATATTCAAGCTAATATCGTGGGTATTTATGATGGATCAGGATTTGTATCTAGTATTGAAGATCCTGCTAAGCAATATGGTATTTTATTAGATAAAACTCCATTCTATGCTGAACAAGGTGGTCAAGAATATGATACTGGGAAATTAGTTATTGATGGAAAAGTAGAATTCAATGTTACTAATGTTCAAGTATATGCTGGATATGTATTACATACTGGTAATATCATCGAGGGGGAACTTGCTGTTGGTGATGAAGTTATTGCCACTTATGACGAATTAAGGAGATGGCCAATTAGAAATAATCATACTGGTACCCATATTTTAAATTTCGCCTTGAGAGAAGTATTAGGTGATGGAGTTGATCAAAAAGGGTCATTGGTTGCTCCTGAAAAATTGAGATTTGATTTCAGTCATAAACAAGGATTAACCACTCCGGAATTAACAAAAGTTGAATCAATTTGTAATCAATATATTAAAGACAATAAAGAAGTCTTTTATAAGGATGTTTCCTTAGGTGAAGCTAAAGAGATTAATGGATTAAGAGCCGTATTTGGAGAAACTTATCCTGATCCAGTCAGAGTCGTTTCAATTGGAGTTTCAGTTGATGAATTATTACAAGACCCTAAGAAGCCAGAATGGCATGGTGTTTCAATTGAATTTTGTGGTGGAACTCATGTTGCCAAAACTGGTGATATTAAAGATTTGGTTATTATTGAAGAAAGTGGTATTGCCAAAGGGATTAGAAGAATCGTGGCTGTGACTGGTCATGATGCTCATGCTGTTCAAAGATTAGCTCAGGAATTTGATCAAGAATTGACTCATGCTAGTGAATTACCATTTGGACCAATAAAGGAAAACAAGGCAAAAGAATTAGGTGTTGCTTTAAAGAAATTATCAATTTCTGTATTGGATAAACAAAAATTAACTGAAAAATTTAATAAATTAGATAAATCAATTAAAGATAATCTTAAGGCTAAACAAAAAGAAGAATCTAAAAAGACTTTAGAAGTTGTAAACAATTGGTTAAATGATGTTGAAAATAAGAGTGAATTCTTAGTTGCTCATGTTCCAATTGCCGCTAATGCTAAAGCTATTACTGATGCTTTCAATTTGATTAAGAAACAAGATAAGACTAAATCTATCTACTTATTGACTGGTGAAACTGATAAAGTTGCTCATGGTTGTTATGTTTCTGATGAAGCTATTGCTAAGGGGGTTGATGCTACTGTTTTAGCAAAAGCTGTTTCTGAAAGTATTGGAGGTAAAGCTGGTGGTAAAGGTAATGTTGTTCAAGGTATGGGTGATAAACCAGAAGGTATTCCAAATGCTGTTGAACAAGTTACTAAATTATTTGCTGAAAAGTTGTAAATAAATCTGTGTATTTAGTCTATATATGTTTTTATTAAGTAGAGAAATTATTTTGTAGTAAAGATATGTACATTTTTATTAATGCTTCTTGTGTGGTGGTTCTTCATTGGTGAATTTATCTTCTTGTTCTTGATTAATTTCTTGTGCTTGTCCTCCAAGATTTGCAACCAATTCATCAACGATTTCTTGTAAATCCTCAATAGATAATGAATTACTAATTATACTAATTGTATTAACTTGCCAATTGAAATGAGGATAACTTCCTAATTTAACTTTTCCAATTCCATGAATTGAATCACATTTGTTTTGAAGTTTGGTTAAAAATGGAGCTAATTCACTTTCTTTTGTTGTTGTTTTAACATATCTTCTATTTAAATCTTGTTTCCGTATTCTATCTTTCAATAATGGTTGCATCTCTTTAATTAATTTCTTAAATAATTCAGGTACACCAGGTAAAATATAAACTTGTTCATTTAAAGCAACCAATGGGAACCATAAATTATCTCCAATGAAATATTTCTCCACACTAATTGGATTATCTTTCTTGGCCAGGGGTAATGTTGCCATTTTATAAAATGCTTGTAATTGATCTGTTTTTAATCCATCTAAATATTTTCCTCTTACTTTATGCATTCTGTTTACAACTTCTTGATCTAAGCAATAATCTAATCCAAAATATTCACTTAATACTTCATAAGTAATATCATCATGAGTACTTCCTAATCCACCAGATGTGATTATAAAATCAATTTGATCTTGTTTTAATAATATATCTAAAGATTTAGTAATATCTTTAGGATCATCTCCACATACAATTGTTCTTTTAAGTGGGATTGATAAATTATTAAAACATTGTCTGGCAAAGTGATAAGAATTTGTATCTAAGATTTTACCATTTAAAATTTCATCACCAATTATTAAACATCCAGCATTTCTAATTGGTTTTTTAGATAGATTGGTAGCAGCGCTGGTTGTAATTGATGACATCGTAGATAATGTTTGATATGAACAAATTATAATTCTTCTTCTATTCATTTAAAGAAATCAAAACTAAAAGAAGAAGAGAAGTACAGTATATAAGGGTATCTCCCCATAAGACAGAGAGAGAGAGAGATCAGTTGTTTCAAATTTAATTCAGGGGAAAAAAAAGAGCAAACTTTAAAAGATTATTTTTCATTCAGAATTTGTTAGAGACAAGTAAGAAGAGACCCTAACATTCAATATAAAGGAACTATATATACAGTATATAAGTATATATATATATATATATATATTCGATCACTCTGTCCTTCTATTTTAAACAAATAGTTTGTCAGTCTCCTTTGATTCTTTTTCCCTTCTTTATTCTGTTTATATACCTTACAATTAATACCCGGCCTTAATGAATTGAAACTGAAAAAAAAAAAAAGACTCCGTTCGGTCGTTCGGTGCCGATTCAAATTTTTCACTTTCTTCAAGTTACACAGTGCAGTACAGTACAATCGCTCTCTGACTATCGGTTTGCATTGAAAAAAAAAAAAAAGATTCACCATTCAACGGTTTTCGTTACTACATTGTAAGAAATATTAAAACACAATACCATATTTATGCTATGTCTTATATGATGTTATTACCTAGAGGCCCATTATTATTGGGTAAAGGTATAATAGGAATAAGAAGCATCATAATAAGAGGTTTCCATAATTCAATAAAGCACAATAAACTATCACATTCACGACCTGTAACTCATCAACTATTGAAATATAATAATCTTCTTAATAGAAGAAATGAATTTAACGTGCTAACGGGGTTCTTACTACAAAATAGAAAGTATACTACCCCAACGCCGACAGAAGAAGTAGAGAAAAACAATAAAGAATCAACAATTATAGAATTCAAGACAGATTCAAACTTAGTTAAGGATCATTTAGAACTTAGCAAACAACGACAATCAGAAATCTCCAAAGAAGAAAAGAAGGAACTTCAACAACAACAGAATAAAAGCATCTTAGAGAATTTTAGAACAATTGGTAGGATTTTGCAATTAGGAAAATCTGATTTAAAATTATTTTTATTAGCACTTGCATTTATCTTATGTGCCGTCCTTTATCCAACTACTGCTGTTAGACTTGTTGGTGCTTCATTAGATGCTTATAGTTCAAATACCAAAGATGAAGATGGAAATCTTTTAGTTTGGGGATATAAAATTACTACAGTTTTCCAATTTATGGTCCCATTTATGTTGGTTAGTGCTGCATGTTTTTGGGGAAGATTGTGGGTATTAAAAGTATTAGGTGAAAGACTTGTAGCAAGATTACGATTCAAAGTAATGAAAACTTTATTAAGACATGATGCTGCTTTTTATGATAATGAAAAACATAAAGTTGGAGATTTAATATCAAGACTTTCAAGTGATGCATACGTTGTTTCAAGATCAATTACTGGTAATTTACCTGATGGGTTAAAGAATCTTTTATTTGGAATTATAAGTTCATATATGATGTATGCTATCAACCCACTTCTTTTTGGAGTATTTTGTATCATATCTCCGCCATTAATTATTGGATCAGTATTTTATGGTGAAAAAATGAGAAAATTATCAACAAGAGTTCAAAATGCTGCTGCTGGATTAACTAAAGTCTCAGAAGAAACTCTTAATTCAGTTAGATTAGTCAAAGCTTTCACTGGTGAACAAAAAGAATTGGATAAATATTCCGAAAAGATTAGAAATGTTGTTACAGTTGCAAAACGTGAAGCATTTGCTCAATCCAATTATCTGGTTAGTATTTATGCTTTATATCATACCGGATATATAGCCTCTATTTCTTTAGGGCTTTATCTTATTTTGAAGGGACAAATGACGGCAGGGGATGTAGTTGCATTCTCAATGTATCTGGAATTTTTTAATCTGTCCTTATATTCTTTAACAACTACATATATGGAATTAATGAAAGGTGCAGGTGCTGGGGTTAAACTTTTTGAATTAATGGATTATAAAAGTGATATAGAACCTATTAAAGGTCATAAAGCACCTAGTCATCTTAAAAATGATGTTGAATTTAAAGATGTCTTTTTCAGTTATCCAACGAGACCAAAAGATAAGATTTTTAACGGATGTAATTTCCATATTGAGGCGGGAGCAAGTACTTGTATAGTGGCACCTTCAGGATGTGGTAAATCTACCGTTGCTTCATTACTTCTTCGTTCATATAATATTCAAGGTGGAACAATTACGATTGGGGGCAAAGATATTAAAGATATACAAGTTCGAGAACTTCGAAGAAAAATTATTGGGATTGTTCAACAAGAACCAGTATTATTATCCGGGACGATCTTGGAGAATATAGTATATGGACTTACACCTCATGAAATTAAGTATTTAACTATGGATGATATAATTGAAGTTTGTAAACAAGCCAATTGTCATGATTTCATCACGGGATTCCCCGATGGATATAATACAATAATTGGAGCTGGTGGGACTTCCTTGTCTGGTGGTCAAAAACAAAGAGTTGCAATTGCAAGGGCATTAATCAAAAAACCATCGATATTAATCTTAGATGAAGCTACATCTGCATTAGATTCTCGATCTGAAAGTTTAATTAATGAAACTTTGAAAGAATTAACTAGTGAAGGAAAAATGACAATTATTTCAATTGCTCATAGATTATCAACAATTTCGAAATCTGAATTCGTGGTAGTTTTAGGTAAAAATGGGCAAGTTGTTGAACATGGAAGATTTGTTGAATTGTTTAGTAATCCAAATTCAGAATTATCTAAATTATTAGATGAATCGGCTAATTTACAAGAAGATGAGAAATTAGATAATGAAGAAGTTGAAGAAATTGAGCATTTGAATCGTGAAGCTCAAGATATTGAACTCGAACAAAAGAGAGAACAATTGGAACATATTAGATCTTTGATTGAACAATTACCCTCTGAATTAAAAGGACAGTTAATAGAAGAGATTAATAATAATCATCATGTTGAGGAAAAGCCGGTTGCAAATTTGGATTCAACATTGACGGAAAATCTTAAAAGATAGATCCAAACATTATAGAGGATTTATCTTTTTGTATAATTAGTACCAATCCCTGTAAATAGATTTTTATTTATTCAAGTAAATTATTAAATGAATAATTATATTTGATTCCCAATGTTAATTGTATATATTAAATAATCTCTGATATATGCTATTTTCGTTATCTATATTTATATGACCTCCACTTTCAAATTGAAGGTTCTTCATAAAAACCAGATGCTTAATGTTGTTGTAATGGTCTAGCATCAGATTGAACACCATTTTCGATCTTAATAACTTTAACTTCAGTGAAACCTCTTCTTTCAGCAACAGCTTTAATTTCTGGTTTTAAAGCAGCTCTTAAAGTTCTAGCAGCAATGGCTAATGCTTTGTTTAAAGAAATACCAGCTTGTTTGTAGGCAACAGACATTATTGTGTTTGTATATATGTATATTGATAATGATGTACGTATGAAACCTTTATCCTTATAAGTTTTTGAATTTTTCACCCAATGTCTCTCACTAAATCTCGGATTAGGATTTTTTTTTTTTCTTATGTGAATTTTTCAACAATCAATTTTTATTGGTTTATACATTTTGTTAATACTCAAATTTACGCGTAACTTACATTCATTCTCAGTAAATTACGTCACTAAGTGATTCCCTTTTTACCTTTCTTAATATGTACAGTAGATATAATGAGAGAAATGTCACCAGATGTACTGAGGCACACCAAAACGAACTCTGGTTTTCGAAATACATTTATAAATACATCTACAGACCAATGGTAATCAATTGGAGAGAAATAAAGGTTACGCAATGACAACATTCAAGGGGAGGAGATTACTGTCAAAACTATTTGCAGTGAAAATCCTGTTGAGACACCATGTATTTACCATTTTGCTTATTCGAGAGATGAAACTGGGCCTAGAGTTGTTAACAATAACCTAATATTGCGTTGACAAGATATGCTTAGAATGCGTTGCATAATATATTCATCTTCTTATAACGTAGATATTTAACAAATTATGAACATAACATCATTGAGGAACCTTTCATAGAATTACTAGCATTTTCTGTAGTTTACAAATAGAGTAAATTAAGAACCGTCTTTTGTGGTTGCTAGGTTTGATAGAGATTTACAAACCCCTCTTTTCAAATACGCCTTAGTTTTATTTTGTGTATGAACTTTTTTGTGGTTGT